TCAGGACCTCGAGACTGCGTGGGATCAGTGGCATGCTTGTGCAGAGGACTGGCTTCGACAGGCCGGCTTTTTGCAGAGTACCAAGGCTGAGCAAAGGCTGAGATCTGCCCCACGCCTTAAGTCCGGGACTCACGCTGCGGGCCCTGGACAGCACGCTGAGGAACGTCAGCTGCGAAGGCACATTCGCAGACTTCAGGAGGCTCTCACCCTTACCAAACGCGGTGCTCCTGTGCCGGGGCCTCTTCAGGGCAGACTTGTGAACCGAAGCGTCCCTCAACCAGAGCGGCAGGCGGCTCGGTCGGTCAGGACACTGGGGCGTCGCTTTGCAGAGCGCCCAAGGGCGGCTGGTTGATAGACAGCGGAAGCTGAAGAGCGACTGGGTTCACAGGGTTCACTCGGTGTCTGGGGCTGCTTCGTGGTGTCAACAGCAAGCTCCTCCCCCTGTGACTCTGGTCTCTTCTGATGTTGCTGACCAAGAAAGGTCGGTCGACGTCAAGGGGCGCACTTAAGGGGCGCACTTATAGAGCGCATTTTGGCTATAAGTCGGAACCAATATATATCAATTTCGTTTGTTTCCGTTTCGACAGATGTTTTTTGGCGATCGTCTCGGATTCGATTATAATATTTGGAGACTGACTGGCATGCATGCAGGTCAGTTCTGTTATCAACTTCGTTTTTTCCGTTTCGACAGATGTTTCTTGGCGATCGTCTCGGATTTCGACGGACTGGCATGCATGCACGTCAGTTCTGCTGCTCGTGAGATGGATGCACAGACGCGACGCACCGTAGATTTTAAAGGCTCGAAAATTTAAACAGCACGCATGGAGTAGCAGCCCGAAACCTGAACCGGTCATTTCTTTACAATGGCACTCATGACGGCATTCACTCGATCTGCATATATGTATGTGTTAATAGATCAGCCCAAACCCCAGGCTATACGTGAAATTGCAGCTCGGCCTTAGGCCGCGAAATTCCGTGAAATTGCAGCTCGGCCCGTTACATTCCGTGAAATTCCGCGAAATTCCGTGAAATTGCAGCTCGGCTTGTAAGCTAGCTAGCACTTATAAGGGCAGCGAAAGTCCGTGAAATTGCAGCTCGGCCCGTTATATTGCAGCTCCGCACAGGGCCGCGAAATTCCGTGAAATTGCAGCTCGGGTTACATACCGCGACATTTCTGGCAGCTCAGCTATAGCACGGCCGCGAAATTCCGTGAAATTACAGCTCGGCCAGTTATATATTGCAGCTCCGGGCCGCGAAATTCCGCGAAACTCGAGGCCGTGAAATTGCAGCTCGGCCCGTTAAATACATTGCAGCTCAGCACTTATAAGGGCCGCGAAATTCCGTGAAATTGCAGCTCGGCTATATTATAAGGGCCGCGAAATTCCGTGAAATTGCAGCTCGGCAGCCTTTTGGGCGTGAAATTGCGTGAAATTCATGTGGCCGGCAAATGCAACCCTGAAAATCCCTGGGTTTTTCGAGATCGTCAAAAACCAGTGGGCGTGAAATTGCGACAGGTCCATTGTGAGCCCGTCCTGCCAGGACTTGCTGCGAGCTCAGCAGGCCTGGGCCGTCACTGAGACCGTTAGCAGGATGCGTACGCATCCGGGCAAGACGCAGACGCTCGGTCGCACCAGGGCGGCTCAGGAAGAGCTGCTCCGACAGGGGTTCCCCGCTCGGGCTTCTGCTGAGGTCTTGGGCGTCTCGATCGGGCCGGTCCCTAGGGATCGCAGCGAAGAGGAGCTGAAGAGGGAAGATCCGGCCACTTACGTGGCTAGCAGGCTTCAATGCCTCCCGTGTTCTCAGAGATTCAAGACCACTTTGGCTACGATTCTCTTTGCTGCCAAGAGGCTTTGGGGCTCTTTCTTGAATGGGCGCCTCCCGGCCGATGCGGAATGTAAGTCGTACATCGCTTCATTTCGGACGGCTGTGAAGGGCAGTGATGCCCAGTATGACAGAGCGTCCCGGCCTCTGCAGCGGGCCTTGCTGCTTGGACATACGAGTGACATGCTCTTCATCAGTGCGCATCGCGCCCTCGCTGCTTTGGGCCGGTGGGCTGATGGGGAAAGGATGGCAGGTCGAGACCCTGCCAGGGTGCAGATTCAGAATACGCAGGTTGGTGGCCTGCTTTCTCGTGCGCTGCCCAAGTGGGGTTGGCGGATGGGCCGTCAGTGGGGTGTCTTCGCTTGTGAGGCTGGCACTCTGTCGCTAAGGAGCTCTGCTCAGGTCCGGGGCAGAGGACTGTACCTCTTGCGAGAGTCCTGGAGGCTTGCACAGTTTCGCTCCTGGCTTCAATCCGACCGCATAGATGCTGAGGTTGCCCGGGCTGAGGGCCTTGTCATCAATCGGCATTTGGTTGCCCGCTTGCATAAGCTAGCCATGAAACTCCCAGGGCATGCTGTCGCATGCATGGCTGGAGGGTGTAGTACAGACGCCCGGTGGACGCCTTCAGGTGCCATTCGGGATCGGTGCGAGCTTTGTGGCAAGGCTGAGACCCCCAGTCTCAAGCATGTCATGTGGAGATGCTCTGCGCTGGCACACCTACGAAGCATCCCGGAGCCAGCGTGCGCTCGGGCCTTAGGCAGAGGGCGCGACGAGGCCTTGCTGCTGCAGATGGCCTGCATAAGGGAGGCTGAAGCGGCGTCGCGTTCCAAGCGCGCAGCTTGGGCTCCGAGGTCTGACGAGTGAGCTTGAGAGCTCGAAGCCCTTGTGGTGCCTGCTCTCTTTCTGCTTTCAGCACAGAACTGCTCCGGTGCAGGGCAGGTCTCTCTGTGTGAGAGGCTGCTAGGGACCCGTTCCCTTCTGGCTAAGGTGCTGGCTCTTCGCCTCAGCTAAGGACTTGGCTTGCTTTGGCTGGTTACTTTCTCGTCCGGCACTCTGGTGCGGACGCTTCGTCGACTGTTGAGGTACAGGCGTTCAGCCTCAGCTAAGGAGATGCCTTGCTTCGGCTACCTCCTCGCCTACACCTTCGTGTGGGCGTCTTCCTCGTCGAAACCCCGGAGTTAGGGTACGACGAAAACAACATCATTGTCGCTGAATTGACCTTCGTTCGCATCAACGACCTGGCAGTGCCTTCAGAGCCCATCCATTTCCTACTGCAGCCCGGAAGAGAAATTCTACGGTTTAGGGCTTACGGTTGATGGTATAAATCCTGCACTACCTTAATGGCTCTTGACTATGGGAGCTATGGTATATTCCTTAATATGGGTAGTGCAGGGTGTATATCATCAACCGTAGGAAAGTCTTATGCTCCGCCTGAGGTTTATACTGCGGTAGGATGAAAGTTTGACCCGCTCCTTCTTTCGTCGAACACAGCCCCCCACTGCCCCATAGAATCTTGCGGCTACTCCGCCGGAAAATTAAAGTAGTATAACTTCAAAACGGGGTATAAAGTACGCCGCGGGCCAGGCCACGTGAATCGCACTTTTCGGAGCTCCGGTGCGCTGCAAAACGTCTCAAGACAAGATAGTCCAGCAGGTCAAAACATTTGTTCTCCCGATGTACGGCAGGTTCAACGTGAATTTGTACCGTTTGGTATGAAGCTTAAGGTTGTTGAGGTGTCCGCTTGTTGTTGTTCACGGGAGTGCTCACGAATGAGCAACAAACCATAAACAACAATACTACAAACGCTGAAATCCCCACCCCTGAACCCTAAATACCTAGACTTTAAGGCTACCAGAATCAGGAGTATTCTCATTTCTGAAAAGGAACTCAGGGAACAAACCCCAGTGTTGTGTGTTTGTCTTGGGCTTTAACTGGGGGTGCTCATGGGTTTGAAACCTCGCTTTCAGGATTGAGTTGGAAGTCTTGGCTGGTTTTACAGTACTGAAGTAGGGTTTGGGGTTTAGGGTTTAGGGTGCCCCAGAGGGTCCAAGTACCCAAATAGCAGGGTTTAAGGTCCCAAAATCCATACTCCGAATGGTTTTTGGACTTTGAAACCCTCCTATTTGGGTACTTGGACCCTTAGGGTGCTACAACAGGCGGTTTTGAATACCTGCGGGTAGTTTCACCTAACACGCCCTCTACATTATGCGTTGGCGTTGTCATGCTATATGATGTCGGTAACCCAGAGGGTCCACATGTACTACCCTTCTGCATCAGGTCCCAAAAGACCATCCTAGTTATGGTTTTGGGGACTTGGTGCCACAACCGCAGTAAACATGGACCCTTACACCCCAAACCCTATAGAAACATGAAAGGACCCCATAGAGGAACTCTTACAGGACCCTTTAGTGTATATGGTTCCTACAATAGCAGTATGCATGGACCCTGTCCTAGCAACCTTGCAGGCAGGGCCTTAAAGGGTTGCTGGACGAAGGCGTTGAGGTTTAGGTTTGCAGGGATAAGAGTTCAGGGTTTGGGGGTTTAGAGTTTTTGAGTTTAAAGTTCCTGGTCTTGGGGTTCAGGGGTCGAAGCATTTGGGTTTTAGGGTCTGTCTGGCGGCTTGTTGTGCACACTTCTTGGCCTTAGCGCACTAGTTTCCAAGCCTGAATCTTTCAAGTTCGAGCGGACACAGTGTTGAACAGTCTGTGAAAATTGACCCTAAACCCTAAACCATGGTAGAGACAACGTTAGCTATGGATCGTGTGGGGAGAGCCAACCATGAGAGTCTAAGCCTAAGCTTTAACCTGCAAGGCATTTGAAAGTTTTGTGATGGAGGGTTCAGCCCTGAACCGGAAGCCCGAAGGCCCACAACCCTGTACATGTCTCTATGTACATATATATATACATACATACATACATACACGAATATTTATATGTGTTTATGTTTATATGTGCATATACACATATCTATATCTATATCTATATCTATATCTATATCTATATCTATATCTATATCTATATCTATATCTATTTCTATATCTATATCTATATCTATATCTATATATATATGTACACGTACACATGTATACATATATATATATATATACACATGTAGGTATATAAGTATATATGTACGTATGTATGCATGTATGTATGTGTACATCTATGTACATTTCGAGGTACCTCGAGCCGCTGATCGCTTTAATCATCGTTGCCAACGGCCACTTGCATCATTGCGGGTGTTCTGAAGGTTTCAGGGGTTCCTTCAAGGATTCTTTCAAGCTTACCTTTGGGTAGTAGGGAATGGAAAGATGGTAGTAGTAGTAGTAGTAGTAGTAGTAGTAGTAGTAGTAGCAGTAGTTATAATTGTACCCCATTCCTCCATTCCCTACTAACGAAACCTAAGAGCACAAGCCCAAAGTAGACCCTAAACCCTACACCCCAGATCCCTTTAAGGAACGCTATAGATCCCTTTAAGGAACCCTATAGATCCGTTTAAAGGAGCCCTCTTCCCTACTAACCAACAGTAAGCAAGTAGCATGCTTCGGGTTCAAGCTGACGGTTTCGTTTTTAGGCTTCAGGCTCCTTGAAACATGCCGAGGTCCCAAACCCAACGCCCTAAGCGCTGGAGCTTTAAGTTCCAAAGCCGAAGCCCATTGGTGGAAAGCTCAAAGCCTCGAACCTCACATGAACATCATTATGGGTTCAGTGGGCCTTGAGTTCAGGGTTTGTTGATTTAGGATTGAGAACTCAGGAATTGGAGTTAGCCTTTGCCACATAGTTGTCTTAGTACTCAGTCATGAGGCCTTCTTATGGTCGATGTGGCAATCTTGTGATATGCCGCGCCCCGAAAGCCTGTTCGGTTTACTTTTTCTCAGCATGAGTGTGCCGGGTTTATAGCGTTCAGGACACGACATGCCAGCAATGCTGTTTTCAGGATCAGGCTTGCTTGGCAAGCAGGGGTATAACTCGCGGAAGGGCCATAAAGAGGAACTCCGAATATAGAACCCTAAACCCTAAACCCTGAACCCTAAACCCTAAACCCTAAACTCTAAACCCTAAACCCTAAACCCTAAACCCTAATCCCTAAACTCTAAACCCTAAACCCTAAACCCTAAACCCTAAACCCTAAACTCTAAGCCCTAAACCCTAAACCCTAAACCCTAAACCCTAAACCCCATAAGCCGGCCGCTCCGCAGTCGAAACAGGGAATGACGGGTGAAACCAGAAAAGACTTGGCGGCTCAGCCTGCTGTGCCTGCCAAACGTAGAACCTTCAATCCTCAAACCCAGGATCCCAGGTGGCAAGGTGGTGTGACTTTGGGGGTTCATGGGACTTAGTAAGTACAGTTATAGGTACCCTAACTGGGGTTATATCCGATTATAAGTAAAGTTGCCTTATTTATGAGCGTAGTTGGGCTCATGCTTCGGGGTTAAAGGTTCAGTGTTCAGAAGCCCAGCGAGGGCCCTGAATGTCGACTCGCGAGACGTGAACTCTACGGTCTCAGCGTTTTCTCGACTTTCGTTTTATCGAGAATTGAGAATGTCAGCTTTCGGGAGTGATCTGATCCGACGTGTGCATCTGTGTCTGTGTGCGTGTATGTGCTTCGGTTGTACCTGGAGTGATAGCTTCAACCACGGAAATCAGACCAAGTTGTTGGAGTGACGCCATTCTTGAAGCTACACGGGTCTGTTACTCTGGCAGCGCCTAAGCCCGGATCGCAAGTGGTGGATTCCATCTTCTGCATCCCCTGGCAACAAAACTGCTGTGCAGAAGTCGTTTTAGACACACCACAAAGGTGCCTGAATCAGGATTAAGTCATCCCGGAAGCTTGCCATCGCTACGTAGAACACGAAGGTATTTGCATCGGGATCCAGACGGATCCGACCTACGAGAATTGGGACGGCTGGTTGTGCCCTTGGCTCGTTCAGCTCAAAAGGTTGCTCCACAAAGGAGTTCCCGAAAATTGAGGGTACCTTACTTTGGGGTCCTTAGAATAAGGATCCTACTATCGAGGGTGCTATATTAGGGTCCCCTATTTTTTGAAACTCCCATATATCGTAAGTCATATTAGGGATCCTACTTTATAGTACCCTTATGGATCCCTTATAGGAGCCCTATTTTCGGAAACTCCCATATGGGGAGTAGGAGGAAGTGTAGGCCGCGACTTGCAGCAGCAAGGTTTCTGGCCGAGGTTCCTGTTCATGTTCCGGGCCTTTGTGTGTGTGTGTGTGTATGTATATATATACAGATAAGTGTGTATCTATATACATATAGTGTGTATATATATATATGTGTATGTACATGTATATATACATATATATATATATCTATCTATATGAGAGTGTGTGTATGTATGTGTGTGTTTGTGTGTGTGGGTGTGTGGTACTTGTTGGTTTGGAGGGCAGGGCATTGGGATCGAGAGAACCCGACCTTGACTGGAAGACCAAGCCTGGAAGCCGAGAGGCCCACGCCTGAATACATTAGAAGCTGCCCCCCCCCACCCTGTAATAGTGGTATAGTAGGAATAGAAAAGGGCCCTAATATAATCCTCTATAATCCTTATGGTCACTATGACAGGGTGGGGGCCCCTTCTAATGAATACATCTATTGGTGCAGCTTATTTCACCAAGCCCTAGAACCCAATGTCTAAGCCCAATGCGAAATCCCGAAAAGCCTAACAATTAAACCCTAAACCTCAAGCCATTTTGGCTCAAGGCCGCTGGGTACTCGTCTGTGTCGGAGAGACCTGGGCCGGGGAGGTTAAGGCTAGGGGGATCTTGGGGCGAGTGCGGTTCATGAAGTCTGCTGGTGTCAAGGGGCTTCAGCTTGGAGGGCGCGGTATGCTCCATGTTCCGGATGGGGATGACGAAGATCTGGACGACAGCCCGAATAGAAAACGGGAACCCGAGAAAGCTTCTACCGGACCCAACAAGCTAAAGAAGCAAGAACCACAGCCAGCTAAGACTCTCGTGGATGCAACGTCGAGTCTTGCCAACATAACCCTCGCTGACCTGCGTGGCTTGTTGGACGAGCAGGCCGCTAAGATCCTACAGGCCAACAACGCACATACTGAAGGCCTGCTTCACGCTCTCGAGGCCAAGCAGGAGCTGCGGATCGAGGGGGTCGAGAAACTGACTCGGAGTGTTCATGACACGGTCGAAGGGCTTCAGGGTCGCATTGAGAAGATGGAGGCCTTGATTCAGAAGGGGTCCGTGCCAGGGCGTGATGATGACCGCCGCCGCCAGACACTTGTGTTCGGAGGGTGGGACAGGGATACGAGGAAGGGCATCATCCTTCGTGAAATCACTGAGGCCATCAACAAGCTTGGCCTTACCCAGGATGTGGATGAAGAGGCCTTCACCACGGGACCGAGGCGATCGATTGCCCTCCTGAATATGCCACTCCGGCTTCACGAACAAGACTCTGGCAGAAGGGCTAGGATGCACCGTGTCCTTATGGCTATCAACAACGCCGAGGCAACGACTTCCGCGGGGAAACGACTCTGGTGTTCGTACTCCAAGACTAGGGCGGAGAGAGAGACCAGTGGTCACTGCTCGTGGCTTAAACGTACCATGGCAGCTATCTCCCAGGACCTTGCATCAGCACTCGACTTGGAATACGGAACGGGATCAGTCTGGCTAGGCGATAGTCTGGTGGCAAGTGTTGCACGGCAGCCCTGCAGCGGGGCGAAGTCACATGAGCTCTACACGGTGCCATCGGAGGAGACCAGCACCCGGTGGGTTGATCTCGGTGCCCTGGCGAAGGAGTCGGGTCACTCGGTTGAGAAGCTCAGAGGGGCTTTGGATGCAAACAGAAGGTGACCAGGGATAAAGCTGGATGAACTGGTGGAGCTCGTAAGGCAGTGCAAAGCAGATGTCATACGGCTCGCGCCTGATGCAACCAATTCGCAGGGACTGCCCCATGCTGGCTCGAATCGGGATCTTCCGACTCCGCTACCGCGCAGGTCTCTAGATGCACGACCTGGGGATGTTTCGCCTCAGGGCCGCTCTGTTGGGAAAGGGACTTTCAAGTCTCATACCGCTGGAGGGCGCAATTCAGTTTTCTACAGGAACAACCGGGAAGCTTCTGACAACAATGAGGGAAGACTTCTGGGTGACGAAATTTCAGTCTTTGGATGGAATGTTGGGGGCGCTGATCTGGGAAATCTCACTGAGGCGATCCGACAGGGAACGGGGAAAGCTCTCCGGAAAGGACAGCTTGTGATGCTCCAAGAAGTCCCACGTGGCAAGGACGGCTGGGGCAAATGGGTACAGGATTCATGGACGGTCTGCTCTCATCAGGGTCACGACCAGTGGCGAGGCACTGGCATCATGTTCGCCAACCCTAAGCATCCGAAGACCTCAAATGTGACCATGTTTGCTAAGACCTCAGAATCCAAGGCCTTTAGTGTAAGTGCTGGAAATACAAGGACTTGGACAATCATGTAAGTTGAATGAAATGCATGTCAATATATATGATGTATAAAATGTATTCAATCCAGGAAATGCATGTCATTCCCTGTATTTCTCAATATTCATATGTTGATATACAGGTCAAACAATCAGTATATATGGTCCAAAAAATGTGTTAATAGGTTTGTTTGTTCTTTCCGAAATGCTTTAAAAAATATTCATATCCGATGCAGATTCGCTGAAAAGATCAGAAAGATCAGTAAATAAGTATGTAAAATGAATCAGTCGTAGAATACGTTTGCAAGTTCTTTCCCAAATGCTTTGAAGATTATTCATATCCGATGCAGATTCGCTGAAAGGATCAGAAAAATCAATCAATAAGTATGTAAAAAAATCAGTCCTAGAATAAGTTTCAAGGTTATTTCCCAAATGCTTTGGAAATTATTCATATCCGAAGCAATATATATATATATATATATATAAACGTCCAGCATTCTTTCGAACTTCTTTTCCTGGCTTTGCAAACCCGAAGGTAGGCCTTAGGCCGTGGGCACGGGTTTTATTCCCGGTGGGTGCCCCACAAATTCTGGTGAAGAAGACTTTGGCCAGCTCAAACCTCCACCTCAGGGAGAGTACAGTGTTCAGGTTCAGGGCTCAGGGTTTAGGACTGAAGGGTTCAGGCCATATATATATATATATATATATATATATTTAGAGAGAGAGAGAGAGAGAGCTGTAGGGTTGCCGGGCCTGGGTCTGGTTCACGAGTGGCATGTCTTGGATGAGCCGATCCAGTTGAGACATGCTGGGCTCCTCCATTCTCTTGATGTCGTCATCTTGGATAAGGCTCCGAGGGAAATATATGTATATATCTATATATACATAAATTAATTCAGCTAAAGGCGAAAGCTCCTGCTATGTATATATATAGATAGGCTTCACAAGAACCATTATTATTATAATTATAATCAGTTCATATGGCATATGTATTTACATATTTATATATCTGTCTGTTTCTTATATATTTATTATATATATATATATAATATGCAGCCTAGCGACAGAGGTATGGGACCAAATTCCCGAAGCACAACAGCAGCTCGTCGAGGGCCATGACGATGTCGCATAGCTTGTGCTCCAGTGCATAACCCATAGCGGATTCGATGAAGCGGTCGCATGTCCTCAGATGCCGAGAAACAAAAATCTTGTCATCTTAAGCTCCACCCGCAAGAAATACAAAACGGAGAATATGTCAGAAAGTTGAATAGTTATTGATAAAGGTTTGATTTCACGTGACAAGGTCACAAACAACATATATATATATATATATATTTATGTATAATATTATGTATAATTAATAATAATAATACTATATATATATGTATAAATATAAATATATATATTTATTTATTTATATTTATTTATTTATATATTCTATATATATATATATATATGATATTAATGTATATAAAAAGAATCATATATTATACTCATATATCTATATATATTATATGAGTGCTTGGCCAGATTCTCTGGGTTCGACATGCCCGTGAGGGCTACCACCGTTGGGCAAGTCACTCTCGTCAGGAAGCGATTCACCCACTTGCCGTGAGGCGTATAGTTGCCCATGGCAAGCCAATGCAACCGGTCCTTCTCTGCAATTGGCAGTCCGTGTACCAACACTGTCATCCTGTCCCAGCCATGCCGTTCCAGGTCGTTGACCGCCTTTGCAGCTCTCGATCCCCAGCCGAGCAGCTCCATCTTCACCATCCATGTTGGCCCTGCCATGCCGAGAGGTAAGAGTGGGAAAAACCTCAAGGCACCAAAATTTAATTAACTGCTTGAGCATCATATATTTGCATGTAAGCAGGCATGTGACACTTCAGTCCTGCTGCAGCCCCCCGTGAGTGAACTGACTGCATCCGAGGGGTTTGGGGTTTAGGCTTTAGGATTCACGGGCAGGGGTTTAAGGTTTAGGGTTCAGGGCTTCAGGGTTTCGGGTTCAGGGGTTTGGGGTTTTGGGTTTAGGGTTTACATCTATATATATATATATATATATATATACATAGATACATATATGTATATACATATACATATATATATATATATATATATATATATTTCAGGAAGTCTCGGATGCAGGAGAACTGTTTTCACGAGCTCGCTATCTGCTCCGGAGCTCTCGTTCATGCACGTGCAAGCATGGCCCGCCAGTGCCGTCAGTGACCTTGCATCAAAGCCTGCAGTCGCAGCAACTGCTTGGAGAGGATCTGATTCTCGACCGTGCTTCGATGCGAGGATTTGGCAATATCCACAGCCACTCCAAGAGCCCCCTCTTCAGCATACGTATGGAAAAACCTGAAGTTATAACCTCAGCTGCATATTAGCTGGACTGAAAATACATATAACAAACTCATATATATATATATATATATGGTAGTCGCTGGAATATATATATATATATATATATGTATATGTATCTACCAGCTACAAGATATGTTATCACTTATAAACAGTCGCACCATGAAAGGAATTGTCCTTGAGTAATATATATATATATATATATCATCCTCGTAGCGGGTCTCGGCAAGCTCCATGACCATGTGCTGCAGCATGTGGTGCTTCGGTCTCAGGCTCCACATAAACCTTGGGCAGGGTAGAAGTACTGAAATTTTTAAATAGATGGATACCGCCAGCTTCAAAAATGTGGGGAGAGAGACAGAGAGAAAGAGAGAGATAAATATATAAAAAGACACAGACCCAAAACTCTTTTCACATAGAATTAGACAGAATATTAATCAGCTGATACAGGTGCGGGTTGGTGGAGGTGGCTGCACAGTGCATATAGGTCTCCAGGAATCGAAGGCCCAGGCTGCGGATTTCCACGGCTTCCTCGGCATCGATGGGGATTCATATATTATGTGTCATGCACTTAATATATATATATATATATATATATATATTTGTTAAGATGCAACTTTATTGTATATTAACACATATATATATGTATACATATGTTATACATTACATACTATTTAGCATATGTACTTTATTATATATTATTACTATTTCAGAATTATTATTACCATTATTATCATATAATTATTATATCATTATCACTATCATATATATATGCATATATCTATAAAGGTATAGTTTAAATAATATATAGATATATGTATATATATATATGTAATATATCTTTTATACTATATATAACGAGTATACATATATATATATATATATCATATTCCAAAGTTTGACAGAGAAGCCTCCTCCGTCAAGAACCTGTTGCCTTGCTCCACACGGTTGTACAGCTCCGACAGGAGATGCACACAGAGACTCGCTCTCAGGAGCTCCAGATCAGCTGGTGCTTTCTTGCTTTCCTCTGAGAGGATAGCAGCCAGAAACGACGTGATGATTCTGCTGTGGTGGGCCTTGGACTGGTAAAATATCTGCTCCAGGTCGGATTTCAAGAGAAAGTGTCTGAATCGCGGCATAGCAACCCTGACCTTCACTTGCTTTTGCCAGCCTTTGAACCTAAGGAATAATGCCCGGAGAGCCTGATCTTTGGTCAGGCCGGCACCACACACTTCCCGGTCCAGCAAGACTTTCATTGCCGAACCATTAGCAAAAAGACCAACTCCAAGATGGGCCGTGTGCATCCAGCACTGCTTAAGAATGTGCATGCTAAAACCTGGCATCCAGATAAGCGGCGAACTTTCCGGGGAGTCCAGCACCGGAAGCACATTGGCCAGAAAGTCCACATTGCTCCGCCTGGTTCGCATCCAGGCAGCGGAAAGGCCAAATTGGCCGTAACTCATCGGGCCACTTGCCAGGGTGCACTTGCACTTGTAGCACACTTCCTTGCTCGTCGGTGTTGCTTTCAGACCCAGGCAATCAACGAAAAACTTCCAGTCGCCTCGGAGTTCTGTCACCATAGGACTGCCTGGCATGCGAACAAGTTTCTGCAGGCTCTCCACCACGAACCTCCACAGCGGCTGCTCGGTGGATCGGCCAGCACTGAACCGATCTTGCAAGAAAAACAGAGGGAACCTCGAGTAGGCAAGACCATTGTGCTCGGACATCACGAATCCCATGAAAGCTCCAAGAAGATGATCGCCGTATTTAGTAAACTGGGCAGAGTCCCCATACAAAAACAACGGCTCGCTCTCCACAGCTTTTCCAGGATGTGGTGTGTCCAATTTGGCCCAGTATCGCTTGGTGGAATCTGCTTTGGGGGCTAGCCCTTGCTCGTGGAGCCACGGAACGAGTTCGTGCGGGGCGACACAGGGAATTTGCCTCATTGCACCAAATAATAAATATCAACTTATATTGTGTGTTAGGCATACACCTAGGCAATCTATATATATATAATATATATCACACACATCTATCTATATATATAT